CGCCATGTGATTGGCTGATTAGAAATTAAGTGTTAACGAGCAGTTGGACAGGTGTACCTAATAAAGTGGCCGGTGAGTGTATATGCCGCCATGTGATTGGCTGATTAGAAATTAAGTGTTAACGAGCAGTTGGACAGGTGTACCTAATAAAGTGGCCGGTGAGTGTATATATATATATATTGAAATGCAGTTTTTTTTGTAGGAGTTCTGTTTCACTGTTGTTACCAGAATGATCAGAGTTGAGCTATAAGTAAATTAGACCTTACACCTTCCTGCCAATAAAAAACAAAAACCCTCTAACACAATATTCTTAAAATCCATAACTCTTATATGTAATATATATCATACATGACAATAAGACCTTTAAGAGAGTGGACGCTGTCCTCTCGTGTTACACTTTGTTGTCAACAATGTACTCAAAGGAGACCTCGTGTGAGGTGGGTTATACTCCATGCAGCAGCAGTTTTGTTCAGTCAATACAGTCCAATCAATAGTCTGAGAGTTTAATGTTGTACCCCTCTTTGACTGTCAACATTTTAAACCCCACCTATTCATCTTTCCTGCAGTATCCAGACTGTTTTACAGCTCTGTGTGATGTGCTGTGGGACTGACAATTTCATGAGATTGGACAGCTTTTGTAGAGGTTATCATTCAGAACCCTGTAAAAAGGAGATTTATATTGAAGTTTTGAGTCGATCCAATGGAAATTACGTTATCTCGTGTTGTTGGCACTTCTTCAGGTAGGTTTTCCTCCTCTCTCTGACAGAAAGCAGGTCAAAACTCCTGATGAAACGCTGCAGTTAAACTGAAACAAGTTCTGATATGTTAACCGACTGTGGTTGTTTACCTAATTATTATGACAGTTATGTTTTAATCCAGTCCTTGTTAAACACATAGGCACAACGATCATTCAGCTTGTATTTTTTCTTCTACTTCTTCTTGCATGGAATAACATTATTGTTCCCATCTGAAACTCCACATTAATATTTTTAATGCCCCATTTGGGAAGAAAACAATTTCAAAACACCACAACTCTGAGTGCAGACAGCATCGGTGTGTCCCTGAAATATTATTAAATTGATAAAAGATGAACTTTCAGGTTTGACTTATTTAAAAAGTGGACTGAAGGGCTGAATAAACCAGTCAACATCAAAAATAATCAGTGATTTAACATTCAAATGCAGTGAGAGTTCCAATAATAAAAAATAATTTTCTATTAAAAAAGACTAGATTAATTGGTCATGTCTAGACCTTTAAATATTATTTATTATTAAAGGAACAGGTATTATTTTGCCATATTTGCTGTTGTTCATTTTAGCTCAAACTATTTTACTTTGTAATAAATCACACCAAAGGATTACAGCAGTTTCACTTTATGTTTTTTATGTCAGTGTTATATACATATATAAACAGAGCACAAAAAGTAAGAAAGATGATTTCTTGGCTGTAACAATGCTTCTTGGCAATAAATCTTGTAGCGGTCAGCTGATTGACAGCACCCGGGGGTGCCAGAAAGTCAAAAAAGTGTCAATACCAACTGCAAAATAAGTTATATGGAAAAGAATATTTGGCGATTTTGTTACTGTATGTGCACAACCCACATACTCAGCTCTTCTGCTCAACCCACAGATGCATGTTCCTTACAAACGTGGCACCATTTAAAAGGGAAATTAACAGACTTTCCAACGGTATATGAATTATTACCAAGAAATATTTGATACAACAAAGAAATAATCTACCAAACACAAATTTCCTTACATTTTGGGCTAAGCTTAAATTGAAATGTCCTCTGGATTTTCTTGATTTTTTTTTATTCACCTGTCCTCAGATAGGACATGTGGTTCCATCTGTTTGTCTGTCTGTGGACAACTTATTGTCCAAGCTCTAAACTGATAACCCTATAACGTGCGAAACTGCACCTTCTGGGTGTCAAGGTCACAGGTGACCCGTTTAATAAAAAATTGTCCATGATTAACAGAAATGTCAAACCTTTTGTTCCCTTCATTCCCTGTAGAGAAAGATTGTGTGTCTCTTGGGCTGTCTGTCCACAAGACAATGCACAGTAAGTTGTCCAATGTCACCAGACTATGGCTCCACATTGGATCTTAGTTTTGTTTGGAGTATTTCCACTAAAGAAATATTGAGTGGTACTGACGAAGTTTACTACTCTGATCATAAAATGGTTTTGATATAGACTGGTAGTCATCAGCAGGTAAGTTCTTCACTTTATAACCGATGGCTGCAGTTTCATGTTCTTTAATTGATCTGCTTGTTGATTTACACCATGGACAACATCATTATCAAACAGACTGACCTTTCACCCCACCACAGTCACATTCAGTATTGTTTTGTGAGGAAACTCATGCCTTACTCTGAAAATTCACTTTTGTTTGTTGTTGTTGTTTTAGTGACTGCTGTTCACAGTGGAAAAAAATCCCTTCTAAGTACACAATGAAATGCTGTTCATTTTCTTAGCTTACAATCTCCAGAACTAAAATTAATTCATAATGATGTTTTTTATGATTATTTCATATTAGATTTTACTTTTTGTTTTTTAAATGCTCCAGTTCAAGTCAACAGAAACAACAGTACATATGTTTCACACTGATCAGTTCACACAATTATCATATAAAAACTCATAAAACAACATAATTTAAAGCATAAAAACCTCAGGAAATTTGATCACCACAGTCAACACAAATAATTTCACAGCAAAATAATTAATTATAACATCACCAAGCAGAAATATATGTGTTTTAAATATGTTTGCATTTAATATATGAGATTGTTTTGGATTCAGGTGATTTAGTGG